CAGATACTATACTATTTATTTTATGTTTGAAATTATTAATTCCGGATGTGCTAAAAGACTTCAAGATGGTAATAATTAGTTTAATTATGATTATTTACTCTTTTCATTTGAATTGTTGCTTTTATTTAATTCTCTTATCTTGATGAATTTAAATTTTCTTATTTATGATCGTACAGATTTTTGATGATGAGAACTCCTTCACAAATGAAGAGATTGATAGTATTTGAGATCGTTTAGCTGGATAGTTTCTTCAAGAGTTTTATTATCAATGATACATGAGGTCAAAAATGATTTTTGGTTAGAATGTTTAGTTCTTTTTGCTTTAACTAAGTTAGGACGTTGTTAGATTTTATTGTTTTAGAACTTTCTTGTATTATATGATTAGCTTAAGGTGTTTAGTTCTTTTTACTTAACTAAACTTGTATGGAATTAATTAGGATGTTATTGTTGTTTGGAAAGTATAACATGATTTGATTTTGTAGAAATGTTGCCATTGTTTGTAGTTTGTTTTGGTTCTACTTCTATACTTTAGAATTGTGGGTTGAATAAAAACTATTAATGTAAATTTCCACTGTTTATTTAAAAAAATATATATTTTCATCTAGTCTGTGGAGAACTAATGAGTATAGAGCCAAAATATTTGTTTGTTCTAGAAAGAACAAACGAACATGGGCAAATAGACAAATATGTTGGCTCCATATTCGTTTGTTTTTGGTATAACAAATGAATATGGTTGGTAGAACAGACGAATATATAACTACTATTCACATCTCATTTGTCAACATCTACCCCTAAACAAACAAAAAAAGGCCTCCAAAATAGACAAAACGAGCATATTTTGTAGCAGTGATGTATGTATTTGTTAAGGGTGTGCAAAAATCTAGCAGCCTAGTATGACCGGATCTAACCCGAGCAAACCTGATGGGGTCTGGTTTGAAAAATATTGACCAAAAGCAAAAAAAAAAAAAAAGGCCAACCAAACTATACTAACTCCTCGAGTTACACTGGACTGCAGATTGAGCTAGACCTATTGGTCTAGTCCTGTGTGACTTGGAGATTATATTATCTCTTTTTAATATTTTGTTACCTTCTTCTCTTTTTTTTCCCTCCTAAATCTAACCTAAGATTGTGAAGACTAAAGATCAGAGAACAATATAGAGCCAGACTATCTCCTCTCTATCAATGTTGTCTTGATATATTTGCTTTGTGTTACTCTTGGTAACTTCTATAATTAAGGCACGGATCTTGGTTCGCAGATCTTTTTTTTTTATATATATATAAAGCTTTAGTTTTACGTCGGCTATGGGAAAACAACATAGATGGTTTTGTCCCTTTCAGAACCATGTTAAAAGGTTTATTTAAAGGAAAAATTACACACAGGTCCCATATAGGAGAATTAAGTCAGATAAAGTCCCCGAAAGTCTCCAAATTCTTCCTAAGTCCCCAGGGACTTGTGTGTAATAAATTTCAATTGTAAAAAGTCTGTTATGCCCTCATTCATTGAAAAAGAAAAAAAAAGAGGGGAATGCCTTCTCCTGGTGTGTTGGGTGCTCTATATATATAAGAAGAAAAAGCTTTAAAAAGAAGGAATGGAGGTTTATAATAGATGCCATTGTGTCCATTATTCCAGGGAAGCTGTGTTTTTTTTTTTCATCTTCTTTATAGGTGTTATCATTAAGAACATTATCTTCTTCGTCCACAGCCATTAAAAATGCAATGTTGGTTTGAAAAGTTGATTTACTGTAGATGTGTGGGTATTAAAGATGAAATGAACTCACTTGAACTATCAAGGGAAGCTCATTTTAATCATGTGGTCTTAATCATCTTAGGTGTGGTTTTGTTATGTGTGGTTAGGGTTATAAGGTGATGCTCTGTTTTTTGGTGATTGATGCTCTATTTTTTCGATAATTGATGTTGTGTTGCAAAGGAAAATGAGAGGTTTTTATTGTTATAAGCCCTGTGATGCGATTGTTAAATGTCTTGTTAATGGGTACATCAAATGTTGTTAATATAACTGTATGACTTGTTATTAACAAGTGATTCTGACAGGTTGATATGAAAAATGACAACTTCAAGTGGGAAGCATTTGTTCTGTTATCTCCATATAGGGGGACAATTTATTAATAGTGTAGAAGGTGAAATGCAATATGTTCGAGGTTGTGTGAGAACAAGAATGATAAAGAAAGGTATACCAATCACTAAAAAACCCTTAGGGAGGCCAAAGAAAAGAAGAATTGAATCTCAATTTCAAAATTAAAAACTTTACCATTGTGGAAGATGCCATAAGCTAGGCCATACTATAAAGACTTGCTAGAACTTCAATCCAAGTTGAGCTTTGTTGGTGGCTTGTTTATATTTCTTTTTGTGAATGCTTGTGACATAATTGTTTTGTAAATATCATAACCCACACCTAAAGTTGTCCGTCATTATCCACAAATGCAACTTATGTGCTTTTTTGAATGGGTTGTAAATTTAGTGTAGTTATATTATACAGATATATCAAGTGGTAAATGACATTTGGTTGTAATCTGATATAATATCATATCTGTATTTTAATATACTTTTCAATAGGTTGTAATGGACTTGTTATCAGATGCTGTGGAGGTTGTCATTAGTGGTTTGAATTATGTTACTGATATAAAGTGACAATGTCTCCTACTTGCAATGTTCAATGATTTCTTAACACATGATTGTTGAGTTAAAGTTGTAACATGATATCATTTGGTTATAATTTGATGTTATGTTGAGGCTGTGATATCCCATAGTATGAGTTGTCAAGGGCACTACCGAGATTGTTAACCACTTCTCCTCATGTTGTCATCAGCCGCCATTAAGGTTGTAAATGAATCTCTACAATAAAAATCTGTTATAATCCTATTGGGTTTAGTTACAGTTGTTAATGACTTCAAAACACCTCACATTATATTGTTAAGGTCGTTATGTGTGCTGATAATACAATTTTTTTAGAAGCTGTGGTATCTGATAGAGTGAATTGTCAGGGGCACTGCTGAGGTTGTTAACCACTTCTCCTCAGGTTGTCAACAACCACTGTTAAGGTTGTAAATAAATATCTGCAATAAAAATGTGTTGTAATGCTGCTGGGTTTACTTAAAGCTGTTAGTGACTTCAAAATGTCTCCCATTATATTGTTAAGTTCATCATATGTGCTGATAATATAATCTTTTAAGAAGCCGTGGCATCCCATATAGTGAATTGTCAGGGGCACTGCTAAGGTTGTTAAGCACTTTCCCTCAGGTTGTCAATAGATGCCGTTAAGGTTGTAAATGGATCTGGCAGAGAAGACTGTGATATATACCTATCATGTCATCATGGTTAGCATTTGTTTATCCACTTTTATTAAGTCTTCATTTCTAGACATGATTCAGGTTTAGAATAAGGAATTTTGTGTTTATCGAAACACATGAATGCCATATCAACAACTTCATAACTAGAAAACGATGCCAATCATATTAATATAACTTAACATTCAGCTATCATTATATGGTCAAATAAAAAAACAAAATCTGAACTTTACTTTCAGCTGTCATTATACTATCAAATGAAAAAACAAAATATGATGTTTACATTCAGCTGTCATTATGCTGTCAAATAAAAAAACTAAATACAATATATGTTGGTTGTTTGTTTCTTCCTCTTGCTTTGGGAGTTTCCTCATAGCAAAGACAACACTTGATCACTATGCAGGTTGTTCCTATGAGTTACAACCCACTACAAGCATTCAACCTTTAAATCATGTGACTTCCTTGTCAATTTTGTTGTTTTTGTCAAATAGTGTTAGCTTCACTCTACAAAGAACTTAGGTAGAAGCAATCTCTCTGCAAAAAGGAAACAAAAAAAAGGAACAACTTTGATGGTAGTGAATGACAAGTAATCAGTGTAACATATAGACTTTTAGGCCTAGAAGTTCCAGAAATAGCCTAAATTAAATAGGTTACCAGACCCCTGTGAGCAGAAGTCCCAAAGATGAAAAAGGAAGGTAAAGCAGTTTCAGAGACTAAACTGCAAAGTAAAAGTTTTCAGGGGCTCGAGTATAATTAAGGTTAGAGGCTCCAGTAAAGTCTCGAAGGCCCAAAAAGAGAAAAGAGACTAGATACAGGCCAAAGGTTAAGCTAGAAGCCTCAAAGAGAAGATTATATGAAGCTAAGTCCAAGAAGGGACTAAACTGTAAATTCAGAAAGTTATGACCAACAGGGGTAAAAATGGAAGAGTACGCAGAGAATTCCAAGAAAATCCTAGAAAATGGGAAATAATATTCTAAGGCTCTTCTATGAAGAGAAAAGATGAAAATGCCCCTGAGGCAGTTTCAACGGAATTTATGAGGTTATTACCGGTAAAAAGTATACCATGTGAGGTAATTATTTGAAATAGCAAGAGACCTCAAAAGTGTATACAAAAATGAGGTTAAAGGGTTGAAAGGTTGTACTAATTTATAAAATTAGTCCCGCAACCAAAAGGCCAGTAGAGTGGCTTTAAGAAATTAAAGAGCCGGTTTTGCCGATAAAAGGGTATTTTGGTAAATGAATTTTTATGCAAGGTTTAAAGGAAGTGTTATGGCCTAAGAAAATTCATAGATATTCTCTAGAATTAAAGGGAATTTATAAAGTAGATAGAACAATTTTCTGAGCTCCGAAAGGCCATAAAGAAAGCCGGAGAAACGTGGGCCAAGTAAATTCGGAGGAAGCTTATGAAACAAGTTTGATCCAACGGTTAGGATCTAATCTCCATCTCCTCCACCACTTTCATGACACTTGGCATCTTCTAGAAGGTTGAGGTAAGCATGATGATGATGCAAAAGTCCACTTGAACTTCCAAATTTGCCCTTACCCTTTCTATTAGCCACCAAGGGCATTTTGGTCCATTCAAGCCAACTTTTTTGGCTATAAATAGAGCCTCTTCCCCTTCATATTTTCAGCCAACATGAGTTTAAGAGGGGAAACTCTGCCAAAATTTAGAGAGAAAAACGTAGGGGTGAAGGCCAAGAAGAAGGAACAAAGTTCAAGCTTCAAGATCAAGGTATGTGGTGACTGTAGCATCTGATTTGATACCTATTTCGAATTAGTTACTGTGCGTATCTGATTCTGAAATTTTGCATGCTTAAAGTACACTCTGTGAGCTTTAAATCCATGGGTAGAACACTCCATTTGGATATGTGTGCTATTTATGGTGATTTTTCAAATTTAGGGTTTGAAATCTGGAAACAGTGTTGAACTTTTGGGAGATTGTCGAGTTCCGTACAATTATGGTACTGTTCATCGTAGAATTGGTTCCTGAAACTATTTTTCCTTTAAATTTAACTTAATTATCTTTCAGTGAGACTTGGAAGCACTCAATTTGAATTTTTCTAGATTTAATTATGAATTTTGAAAGTTGATAAAAAATTCTGGAGATTCTGCGTGAACAGTACCCGCGAACCAAATTTCCAGATTTGATATTCTTGAATCTAAAGCCATCTAAAGTGGTCCTAATTGACAAGAAATGGATCATAAGGATGGGAAATGATGAGATTTATGTTAGAAAAGCTAGAAAGAAAACCCTAAGACTAAGAGAAAGGGTTGAGGTTCAAGAAAGCTAGTCTTGAACTTTATGTAATCTCTTGGTCCTAATGGGTTGTGTGACCAATGTGATTATGTTTAGGATCTTGAAACATCTAAGAGGATGTTTGATGATGTTGGGCTAAAGCTACCATGGTTGGAAATCAAGGGAGTCAAAGGAAAAGTAAGAGGAAGGCTTGAGGTGCAAGGTAGTGAATTTACCTATTGTCATTGCTTGATATGGTATGCTTGTGTGTTGCCGTGTACATGTTATTTGCATGTGTTGTGACATGTTTTAACTGCTGTAATTGCTATTCGTGATGAGTAGATTATGTCTCCATGGCCATGCATCAAGAAGTTAGCTTTGAGCATGCTGGTATGTCACTAATTAACAAGAGAATAAACAAGTTGCGTGTAGTGCATGAGCATCCATCTAGCATGATTAATATGGTATTGTTTGCTACTGAGATTCCCCCGAATCTCACCCCCTCCCTAACCAACCATTTAGGTCAATCAATGATGGGCACTAATGGCATGAGAAGCAAGGAGAAGAAGTGGAGAATTATTAATGCAAATGAATGATATTAATATTCAATGTATAATTCTCCTATGCTGTAAATTATGTTATGAATGCCATTACTTCAATGTATATGCTTAGGATGTTTATGGCATGAATGAAAGTATATGAGTATGAATGAGAAAGATTAAGCCCATGCTATGTATGTCAAAGAAATAAAAAGAATTAAAGTAAGGAGATATTAAAGGATAAAACGTAGGTCCTGAAGCAGTTAGTTTTGAGCTTCAGTTTGACCTATCAAATGAATGATTTAAATCACGATATTTGGCAAAATTATAGTGCACATCCCAATCTTCAAAATGAGTGGTAAATCACCTCATTTGGATGTGTATACGAAGAGATATGAATTTTCAAAGTTAAGGCGCAGAATCTGAAAGAGTCCAGATTTTACCAAATGAATAGTAATTTTAATCCAATAAACTGTACGTTTTCAGTGAGGATGAGTTCAGTTGAATATTTTTCCCTTAAAGAGCATTGAAAGAGCTTTCTGTAGAATTTTGGAACACCTCCATACGATTTTCTAGAATTAGTTATGATTTTTCAAAGTTGGACCTGTAATCTGAAAACTGGACAGTGAACAGTAATTTTCCGAAAATTAACGTCCAAATTGAAATTTTTAAGCTTAAGACCATCCAAAGTGGTCTGGAATGGTTCTAAATGAATGCTAAGGTATTATATAAGTAAGGTGTGACATTTTTTGGTATCAGAGCAGAGGTTCTGGCATAGGAAGAAGAGAACTATCTGCAAGAATTTAGAAAAGCTCAATTCAGGTTAGAGCTAGTAGTGGAATACTAGCTAAGGTCCAACTAAGATTATGGATTGGAGGTGAATGCTCTAGGGAAAATAAGTAATAAGGATCTTTAAATGAAGTTGGGGTCCTCTGTTAGAAAGGTACAGATAAAATAATGATAAGGAGTTATACGCAGAGGAAGGTAGCCACTGTGTAAAGATAAAGAGACTTCCCTCTAAAGAAAAGGGGATAATGACTTATAAGTCAAATAGAGGTATGAGTCTAAACCCTAGACGAAAAGGGTCAAGTGGCAACCTAAGTTAGATACAATTACTGTAGCCTTGATACAAGGTTAAGGCAGCACGATCAAAGTAGTTATCTTTGATTCCTAAATAGATATAAAAGGTCAGAAGAGCTAAAGGTTAATTTCTGCCACTGGTAATCCCTGAGGATAAGGGAAAGCAAAAGTGCTAATAGCCTAGAGTTGTGAGCCAGACCCTTCCTTATTGCTTGAAAGGAAGTAGTTGACTTAGTTGGGGATTACAGTGAGGCTAGGACATGGAAGTCCTTCAGGCAGCAGTTAAGGTTACGATAACAAAGCTAAGTAAAACTAGCAGAAGTAAGAGAAGGTATGTTTTGTCATGATGAACCAAAGAAAATGGTGGCGAATAAGAATTCTGGTCATGACGAATAGAGATAGTGACTCTCAGATGCTGAGGTGGTATCTTGGCACGACTTGATGGACTATGAGGTCCCTGAGAGTAAGACTGATAGAGCTCAGAGAGAGGGTTGTAGCCACTATTTAAAAGCTATCAGATTCCCCCTCAAGAGGAAGAGTAATGATGAGTTGAACAAGATAGTTAGGGGTTGAGTCGGTACACCGCTAAGAGGGTGTAGTGGCGACCTAAGCTGGGCAAACTCTTGAAGCCTCGTTAGAGATGGGGCACTATGATAGAGTAGCTATCTCAAGTTCCTGAATAGATAAATAGGAACATGGAGATAGTAAAGTCAAGGTAGATAATCCTAGTGGAATTCTTAGGGATTAAAAAGAAGAGAAAGAGATGAGAATGAGACAGATAGCCATGCGGGGAACTAGCATTATGAGATTGGCATGTTCCCGATGATGTTAAGAGATACTCAGTCACGTGGGGTTAGGTTGAGAGGCACCCTTTCCAAGGGATAAGTTCTTGGCCAGGAATCTTCCTAGAGAAAATAGGAATTGGTCCTCCAAGTCAGAATTGACACTGCTCTAGATGGAGCAAAATGCCCTATCCGATCAGGGAAAGGGAAGCAGCCGAGGCAAGGCAAGTGGAGTTGACCTTACCTAATGGAAGCACGACTAGCCAAGAATAAAGCTAGGCTTAGATGTACCTAAGCTTAGCAGAGTACTAGAGTAAGCAGAAAGAAAAAGAATCTCAAAAGTCCTCTCCCTATAACTTCCAGAAGCAGCTGCGAACAGAGAAAGAGGCTCCCTCTTGTAGGGATAAGATGTCGAGTCGGCATGCTATGGACATAGCAATCAGTAAGAGCTTGCACTCCTTGCATTAAAATGTCAGAAATGCATGTTAGAGTATGCTCATACTGAAAGATAAAGCAAAGGAAAGAGAAGTTGCATAAGTCCTCTCTCTGTACCGTTCTAAAGTAGTAAGAGACGGTAAGAGCAGCTGGAGGAGTAAGAGAACTCCTAAGACAGATTGGCTTAGGCACCTAAAGAGACGAATAGGTAGCCTAGGGAATTGACAAGAGGCTTAAGAAAATGGTATTGGTTCTTGGAACAGTTTTGGGGAATTATTAGTATGGTGACCAATTGAGTGGAGATGACTTCACTTAGTCCTATGGTCTAAGTCTCCTAGAGATTGGTACCTATTTGGGAAGATGAAGACCAGGGACAAGTTGAGGATGTGGAAACCTCCTTCAATTGTAAACCAGTACTGAGAGAGTACCCATGATTTCCTTCCAGATAACCTTATCATTAATTAAGCTGGATTCAATTTCCTTTTGATTAATAGAGGAAAGCCAAAGTTAGAGGAGTTGGAGCCATAAGACCTGGAAAAAGAGACATTCAGGCTAGCTCTAAATACAGGAAGAACCCATGTGACATAGAGACAGACTGAGTATTGACAGGTAAATCTTAAGATAAGGAGAGAGATAAGAATGTAAGCTGAACAGATATGACTAAAGATAGAATAAGAAGGGCCTAAGACAGCAAGGTACTAGGGTTCGACCTATCAGCACTATTCAGGTAAGCGTGCTTAGGCGAAAGTAACCCAAAGATAAGTAACCGTTGTTGGGAAGTTCAGGTAGAAGTCCTGACTAAGGTATAAGTAGAGTATTGGTTCAAGTAACGCTTGGTGTGAGAGAAAACCTAATTAGAAAAGTAACTGGTGACTAGGATTGGTCCAATTGAGGTTAAGATATTGAGGTGTTTTCTTTAAGGGAAATAGATATAGAAGAGAAGTAAGGAATGACAAAGAGTAACCTGAGAGATAGGTAGTCACTGTTAAGAGACTCCCCCTCAGGAGAGAATGGTTGGGCTAAGAGAGCTTGACCAGGGAATGAGTCAAAGTTGAAAGACATCTCCTGAGGGTAATGGCTAAGAATATGGTAAGCCAATAAGGAATTGGAGTCTAGACCCTAATAGGGAAGCAGTGGTGATAACCTAAGCCGGTCGGTAATTAGTAAAGGTGTCTGACTGGAAGGTCACACAGCGGAGATGTTTTAATGATTAATGCCTACTGTGTAGTATGGTCACTTTATGATTAGTATTTGACCATAGAAACAAATGTTTAAGGATATAATAAGCCAGTCAGAGGTATAAGTCAATGCCCTAGTAAGGGAACTGAATATCAACCTGTACCTTAAGTAATCGATATGACCTCGATAGAGGCATGGTAACAGAATGAGATGTTAAAGTTTGTTCAAATCCCTGAATAGAGTGCAAATTCCTAAGGGATAGTGAAACCAAAGGGATGGAGATTAGATGATAATAAATGAAAGGTCAATGATGACCTAGGTACCTGACCTAGATACCACACAGCAAGGTGATTAAATGTTCGCTGTGATGGATGAGGGTATGGTGATCAATACCTGACATAAGAATAATTGGTCAAGAGGTAAAGAAAGTTAGAAAGAGTAAAGTGAGGCAAGATCCCTCTTGAGGATGGAGATGAAAGGAAATGAATAAGAACATGATAGTAGATGGTTGCGTTGGGAACTGATAAACAAAGAGAGATAAGTAAGTTCCTTGTGATACCTAGAGCTCGTGATGCTAGATATATGATAATGTCAGGGACTAAAACAATATTCTTTTATGTCCCTTAAGGTCTAAGAGCATGCAACCATGGCAATTAGGCCATTAAGGAGTCTAAGAAATGAGATTCCTATAGATAGATGCCACTACTTATAAGATTGAGTAATCTAGTAGAGAGGCTCTCTTTGATAGAGATATGGTATTCGAGGAATGTACCTTGGCCGAGATTGCATATGAGGAAAGTCTTGACCATGAAGTACCTCTCTAAGATTGGGAAGTGGTTCTCCGGATCAGAGTGACGCTGCTCTAGTAAGAGTAAGCTATCCTTTGAAGGAAGAAATGAAAAAGAAAGCAAGTGGTTGAGTTGACGATGCTCCAGTTAAAGCAATCTGTCCTCCCACAAGAAAAGCAGAAGTAGCCGAGATAAGGCACAGGAGGACCTTACCCCAGAGAGAGAGAGAGTGAAACTAGTTAAGACAACAGAAGTGTGATATGCAAACAGATGCTCCTCGAGCTTAGTAGGGTACTACGGAATACTGAAGGATAATGAGAATGTGAGATATAAGTCCTCTCCTGATGATTGTCCAAATTATTAAGAGACAGCAAGGACTATAGAGTCCTAAGACAAGGCAGGCTGGCATTGATATAATAGCAAGTTAATGGGCTCTAGAGATGAGCCAGTGCCTAGGGATTCGAAAGGCACAAAGAAAGGAAAGTGACTTAAGGAAGCTAAAAGAAGGGCTAAAGAAATAAGGAAAGGCTAAGAATTTCAAGAGTTGACAGAAAGGATTGAGCAAGAAAGAGAACATAAAGAGGATATGAAGTCAGTAGATATAGTCTTGGGGAATAATCAGTCAAGTTACTAGCTGAGTGGAGGTGACTTATTTTATTACTCAACTCTATGGTCTAGAGTCTCCTAGAGATCCTAAGATGGCTCAGATTGATGATAGTATTCCAGGGTCAGTAGTGGATCCTAAAGAG